TACAGTAGCTAGAAAAAAGTTGTAAATTACAAAAATGTGTCAAATTTTATGCTGAGTATTTTTGTAGTTTAAACAATTTGCCTAGCTACAATAGATTTTGAGCTATGCGCCTTTAAGAGAGCGCACCCCTCACCCTCCACCTATTGGCCAGAGGGCCTTCCTTCATTTAAAGGCGCATATCTCCAAAACTACTGTAGCTAGAAAAAAGTTACCAATTGCACAAATGTGTCACATTTTATGCTGAGCAATTTTGTAGTTTGCAAATTTTGCCTAGCTACTGTAGTTTTTGAGATATGCGCCTTTAAAGAGAGGGCACCCTCCTTGCCCGCTTCCTCGGCAGAACAAAGGGCCTGCCTCCCTTTAAAGGCGCATATCTTAAAAACTACGGTAGGTAGAAAAAAGGTGTAAATTAAAAAAATGTAGGAAAATTAATTTTAAACATTTTAATAATTTTGAACCCTGTCTAGCTTCTGTAGTTTTTAAGTTATGCGCCTTTAAAGTTCGGGTTACTGTAGCTAGCCAAAAATTGCCTTTAGAAACTCAGAATAGGCGGAGCCTAGTCGTGTTTAAGCTCATTTTGAAGCCAAAAACCAGGCAAATATGAATTTCAGCTTTGTGGGCTGGTTAAACAACTAGAAATCTCAAAAAATATCTTGAAAGTTCGCATTTTCCCTATTTTTTCAAGACATCGTCTTTCTAGACCACTTCCTGTGGTAATTATGGCTAGAGAAAGTTTGTTAGGTAAAAAATTTCAAAAATTTCAAGTTTTCTACATAGTAGATATCTTAATTACACCACCACTTCTCTGTATTTTCTATGAATTTTGGCAAAAAATTTCTTATTTGCCAACAAACTTCAAATTATTAGACAACCCTCTTTCAAGGACACAAATTTCATTATTTCCTTTGAATCTCAGCCCTAAAAAAGCATGAAAAACTACAGTAACCCTTGAAAACAGCAAAAAGTCCCATACCCCAAATATTTGAATTTCCCTTATCACACCCCTTCCTCCCCCTGCGACCACCGCTCTCCCCCTCCTTCTCATACGCACTCGCCCCCTCTCCCCTCCCGTGCCGTCGATAGCTCAGTTGGTAGAGCGGAGGACTGTAGAGTCAGTGGGTATCCTTAGGTCGCTGGTTCGAATCCGACGGATTTCTTTTTTTCCTTTTTTATTTAGCATGGGGAGTTGGTTTAGATGATCCCTAGATGCTTTTTCTCCTTTTTCGGCATGCGTAATCCATTCTTAAGTACTTTTTGCGCAATTGTAACCAAAACCGCCCGCGCAATTATGTTCATCCATTCGTAACCGGCATTGAATCGGCAGAATAAGAATAAAGGAGAAGGAAAAGGAGAAAGTTCCGAAAATGGATGATATTCTATGCAAAAGTGGTTTCTATACAAGGAATTCTTTGAAAAAAAAAAAGAAAAATTGCCTAAAAATTTTTATTCTTATTTCTCTTGGAAAAGGTCCAAATAATGATCATAAGTTCAAATTTAACGACGAGTTCCATCCTCGAAGAACACTCCTCCGTCGATGGCGCAGTACTTTGGACAGATTCCACGCTCTCCTGGCGATCCTGGTGGTCCGGCTGGTCCCGGTGCTCCTGGATTCCCATCGGCTCCTGGCTGTCCGTCTGGCCCATTGGGCCCCTTTGGTCCCGGTTGTCCTGAAGATACAGAATATTTGCTTAAAACAACTGAAAACCCCGAAAAAATCGGGTCAAAATAAGCCTCATTACATGGATTTCAAATTTTCAGGGCTAAAAAGTGTTTAACATGGCATAACTTCCCAAATTGGAGTATAAGGCCACGGAAAACACAATTTTCGTGCTTAGCTAGTTGAGAGCTTCAAAATGAGCCCAAACACGACTATGTTCCGCTAAGTTTGACTTTTGAGGCGCGTCGCGGTCGTGCGTCGCGTGCGCTAGATGGAGTTTCGAAATGGGCGCAGCCTAGTCGTGTTTATGCTCATTTTGAAGCTCTAAGCGAGACAAGCAAAAAAATTTTAAGTTTTGAAGGCTAACAATCAAAATTGACCAGCAAAAATGGCAAAAATTGGTTTTCAAGATTTTTAAAATTTCCCTACATATTGCGTTATCTCGGTCAAATTTCGTCAAAACTCAATTAGACAAGTTTAGTTATGTTTGGGTTGTCACGAGCTTCAAAACGAGCCTAATCATGGCTGAAATCGAAAAAACTTGATAATTTTGATTTTTCAGTGGTGATCACGACTTAAAAAGTGCTGTAGCTCAGTAAATTTTGAAGTCAGAACCTTGACCTCTATATTTTGGAATTTCTCTCCTTTTGGGCTTCAAAATGAGTATAATCATGGCTAGGTTCCGGCCACTTTGACTTTTGAGGCGCGTCGCGGTCGTGCGTCGCGTGTCCAAGAGGAAACCTCAAAGTGGGCGGAGCCTAGGCGTGTTTCAGCTCATTTTAAAGCATTTGTCACGGCAAACACAGTGATATAATTTTCAAAGAGTAAAAATGAATTTCTAGGCCATTAAGTTGGGAAGTTAGGTCAGCAAGGGGTACTAAACCCCAAGATTTTGGGGTACAGTAACCCTGAAGTGGGCGGAGTCTAGGCGTGTTTAAGCTTATTTTGAACCGCAAAACTAGCCAAATTTGACTAACTACATTTCGAACTTCGAAAAATGCTCACCTGGCGATCCATCGGCTCCTGGCTGTCCTGGTGGTCCTGGTGGTCCCTGTGGTCCGGGCTCTCCTGGTGGTCCAGGCTCTCCAGGAATGAGCGGCTCGCTTTGAGCAGGTACTCCCGGCTCTCCAGGTGTTCCTGGTGCTCCTGGAGCTCCAGGTGGTCCCGGCGGTCCCTTTGGTCCCGGCTCCCCAGGTGCGGCGTCTTGTCCCGGAAGTCCCGGTGATCCAGGCTCTCCAGAGTCTCCCGGTGGTCCAGGCGGTCCTGGCGGTCCGGGTGGTCCTTGTGGGCATGGTTTGCATGGTGGTGGAGTGATTGGCTCGCATGGCTGCTGTGGTGGGCGTCCTGGATTGCCTGGGAGGCCTGGTGCTCCTGGCTTTCCTGGTCTTCCGGGCTTTCCTGGTGTTCCGGCGGGCCCTGGGGGTCCTGGAAGACAGCAGGACTCACAGGAGCCTGATTGGGCGCCACCACCGGTCACTGCGGCGTCGTTGTAGGCTTGACGAGCGGTACGGTTACTGTTTGGGAGGGATTTCAAGGCGTGTACCTCGTTCCAGATGTCCTTTGCGGAACCCTGAAATTTTGATTTTCAGAAATTTTAGGTTTTTAGCTTCGAAATGAACCTAAACACGACCCATTTTGAGTCATTTTAATGTCCCTTATACCTCAAAAACCTTTAGATAAGTTGGTGGCCTAACTTTTTTGCTCTTGCTGGCCTAGAAACCGACCCTCTTCTATCAACATGCATTTTATCGCATTTATCAAGAGAAGAGCTTCAAAATGAGCCGAGGTTCTGTGCACTTTGATTTTTCACCTGCGTCGCGGTCATGCGTCGCGTGTTTTAAGGGAAACTTCAAAGTGAACGGAGCATAGCCTTGTTTGGGCTCATTTTGAAGCACTAACCAAGCCAAACACAGTGATATAATTTTCGTTGCGTTTAGACAGAAACTGACAAATCTAGGACGGTGTGCAAAAAATGAACATTTCCTTGGAAATCAATAATATTATTTTTCGCTCTCAATTTTGATTTCTACCTTTTGAAACTAACATTATTGAATTTCGCTTAACAAGAGCTTTAAAATGAGCCCAAACACGACTAGGCTCCGCCCACTTTGAAATTTCACCTAGACACGCGACGCACGACCGCGACGCGCCTCGAAAATCAAAGTGGGCGGAGCCTAGTCGTGTTTAAGCTCATTTTAAAGCCCTTTTTAAGGCAAATACAATGGTATAGTTTTCATGGGGTGAAAATTAAAATCTAGGCCACGAGGTGCAAAAGTTCGGCCACCAAACAAAAAAATCCGCAAAAATTTGGAAACAATTTTTTTTTGGGAAACTTGAAAAACGTTTTTCTAGCTGAATTTTTAGCTAAATTATATGATTCTGAAGTCCGCTTACCTTGCAAAATGTGATTTCATTGTGCATAGTTCTTTTCACATGATGCACGTAGTTGTAGACCATTGGTAGAGTGACGCATACCTGGAAAAATATTGATTTATTGATTGACTTTCTAGCTTTTTTGAATTTTACATGGTTTAGGCTTAAAAATGAGTCTAAACACGCCCCATTTTGGTCCATTTTAAGGGGTACAGTACCGAAAATGCCTAGCATTCTCTTGCTGGGATAACTTTTGCACCTGGTGGCCTAGAAAATCGTTCTCGGCAAATTAAAAAAACGTTTACTGTATTTGCCGTGAAAAGTGCTTCAAAATGAACCTAAACTCGACTAGGCTCCGTTCACTTTGAATTATCGGCTGCGTCGCGGTCGTGCGTCGCGTGTCTAGGTGAAATTTCAAGCTGGGCGGAGCCTGGTCGTGTTTAGGCTCATTTTGAAGCGGTTTCTATGAGAAAGAGAATGGTATAACTTTTATCAGACTTGGGCAATTTTCTAGGCCACTAGATGCAAAAGTTCGGCCATCAGCGAAGCTCTGAGGTTAGCAGGCTACAGTAACCACTAAAATGGGCGTAGCCTAGTCGTGTTTATGCTCATTTCGAAGCGTTTTTTATTACAAACAGAGTGGTATAATTTTCATTAACGTGGAAATATTTTCTAGGCCACTAGATGCAAAACTTCGGCCACCACCCCAATTTTCAGAATCCCCCTCATTTTTGAACCCTAAATTCCTTCAAAATAGGTCAAAATGTGCCACGTTTAGGCTTATTTTGAAGCACAAAACCTCAAAAATCTGAAAATAGCAAAAAATTTCAGCTACGCCCCTTTCTAGACCCCGAAAAGACCCAAAAACCAAAGCTTACCGAAATAACAGCGACGACTGAAAAGGCGACAGCCGAATAGGCCACAAAACGATACGCTTTGATGCGTGTCTCCAAATCCATTGTAGGAATATGAATTGGTTTTCAAGTGCCTCTCTATTTATACTGTAGAATAGGCTCCGCCCCCTTCCACCTTCTCCATTAGGCTCCGCCCACATTTTTCGACGGCGTCGTTAAGAAGAAGCGGGGGAATGTGTATATTCAATGAAATTGGGCAATTAGTGGGTAGAAAAGAACGGAAAAAAGATTGTGTACTACCCATGGGAGAATAAAGATATCCCGAATAATTAGTACAGGTTTTGGGGAGGAATTATCATAAAAATCTCCTTGTAGTTTGGTCAGGAATCCTTAGGATTTGAGTACTTGGGAATGCTTTAGGAGGTTTGAAATAGCAAAATTCAAATTTCCCGGTCTCTTCTTAGCATTATTTTTTTATTTTGCAACTTTTCTCTAGCTACCATAATTTTTGAGATATGCGCCTTTAAATAAAGCAGCGGGTGGCCGAACTTTTTCACCTCTGGTGGCCTAGGAAATTGTCCTACTTCCACAAAAATTAATGTACTGTACTTGTGAGGTTGAGAGCTTTAAAATGAGCCTAAACACGACTAGACTCCGCCCACTTTGGTTTTATAGGCGCGTCGCGGTCGTGCGTCGCGTGCTCCAGCGGAAATTTCAAAGTGAGCGGGGACTAGTCGTGTTTAGGCTCATTTCAAAACTGACAATCTGCCAAGACCAGTAAAATTGGTTAAAAACCTTAAAAAATGCTCGGAAATTTAAAAAAATACTTTCTCGAAATTTTCGGAAATATTAAAAATCTGTTCCTTCTACAAACCCGAAATTTCCTTGGTGACCGAACTTTTGCACCTCGGGGCCTAGAAATTCGTCTTCATTTTTTATAAATTGTACCGCTGTGTTTGTCGTAAAGAGCGCTTCAAAATGAGCCTATGCATGACTAGTTTATTGCAATTTTGGGGCTACTGTACCCTTCAGAAATTTGAAAATCCTTGAGGGCCGAAGTTTTGCCCCTGGTGGCCTAGATTTTGATTGCCTTCAGATAAAAACTTGGCCATTGTATTTTTCTTGATGAGAGCTTTCAAATGAGCCCAAACACGGCTAGACTCCGCCCACTTTGAGGTTTCCGCCTAGACACGCGACGCACGACCGCGACGCGGCTGAATATTCAAAGTGGTTGGAACCTAGTCGTGCGTAGGCTCGTTTTGAAGCATTATTCAAGACAAATAGAGTGGTATAGTTCTCAGGAGTGCGAAATTGATTCCTAGGCCACCAGATGCAAAAGTTCGGCCACCAAGGTGCTTCCAAGTTTTAACGGTACCGTAACCCTTAAAATTCATGGAATCTGGTCGTGTTTGGGCTCATTTTGAAGCTCTTTTTATGCCAAGTTTGAATTTTGTAGTTTCTAGTCTCTGTGGCCAAGTATTAGTCACTTTTCAAGCGCTCAAAGTTTCTAAATCCAATTCCTGTCCTATTTCTCACTGAAAGTGACAAAATTCCCACTATTTTCTCGTCCATTCACCTGTCACATAACAATCCAATTCAGAGTAAAAAATTGCGCACTTTTGTGTTCCCCATTCCAAAAAGAAGAAAAAGTCCAATTCATCATTCTCTCCCATCTCTCCTCCGAATCGAATCGTCCCTCATTTCCATATACCAGTCATCACCACCGGACAACCAGATG